AGCGGCCACTGCACTCCAATCTGGGCGACAGAGTGAGACTCCAACTCAAAAAAAAAAAGTAAAAAAAAAAAAGTAGCCAGGCGTGGTGGCACACACCTGTAGTTCCAGCTACTTGGAAAGCTGAGGTGGAAGGATCGCCTGAGCCCAGCAGGTCGAGGGTGTGGTGGCCGGGAGTGTGCCACTGTACTCCAGCCTGGGCAATGGAGTAAGACTCCAACTCAAAAAAAAAAATATTCAACCTCCCGTAGCCATTGGTCATTGCATTGCTCTGGTAAGGTCATGTGACTCTTTGAGCAATGGCAGCCATGTTTTCCTAAACTCTGACCCCCTCCCCTACATTGGAGAGGTGAATCTCCTCTCCTCTCTCTCTTAATTTGTGCCCAGCTAGATTTCTTGACTGGTAATTTGTAGTTCCCATCTAAGGAATCTGGGAAATCAGTAGAAGAGATGCTGTGTTAAGATAAGGGGATGGTGAGCCGGGCTTGGTGGCTCAGCCTGTAATCCCACAACTTTGGGAGGCTGAGGTGAGTGGATTGCCTGAGCCCGCGGGTTCAAGACCTGCCTGGGCAACTTGGTGAGACCTCATCTCTACAATAAATCAAAAATTAGCCAGGCGTGGTAGCGCGCACCTGTAGTTCCAGCTACTTCGAAGGCTGAGGCGGAAGGATCGCCGGATCCCAGCTGGTCGAGGCTGTGGTAGCCAGGCGCGTGCCACTGCACTCCAGTCTGGGTGACAGAGTGAGACTCCAACTCAAAAAAACGTAGGGTCATAAAACTCTGGTGAGTTATTATCGGGGTGACTCGACTCCCCAAGTTTCTTATTTAGGAATTTGGATAAGAGAAGAAAGGTCAGATTTACTCCTCAGTCTAAAAACTTAGGTCAGCAGAAAGGCATGTTAGGTTTGGCCTGTGGGCATGACTCTCTTCAGACTCCTTAGGGAGAAATTTTGATATTTTTTGAGTTGGCGTCTCACCCTGTCACCCAGGCTGGAGTGCAGTGGCATGCTCATGGCCACCACAGCCTCCACCTGCTGG